GTCTCTGAAGATGAATTTGGCGAACGGCAAGAAAACAGCCGTTTTAGACGCTGGGCTGTATCTGTGAGTCATCAACCTGATCAGGAAGGGAATCTGTTGAAAAGGGGCTCACTGTATTTTTTTTTGCTGCAGGGACACAGCTCCCAGAAACTATTCCCGTTGGTGGCTGCTGTTACAGGTTAGTGCTGTGACTACTAGAACTTTTCAGCAGTAATCCAAGGCTGGGGTGGGGGATGGGGGAATCAGGAATTCCCCTTGCTTTAGGGTGCTGTGTGAACTGCAAATGGATCCATTGAGGGAGTGGGCACACCACAGACTGTGATCATGAGAGAGTGCTGAAAGGAATGCACAGAATTAGATTAATACCTGGGATGCGGAAAGTGGTATCTGGACAATGAGCAACACTCGGTGACACTGGGATGACAGAGTCTGATCCAGTGGAACTGGGCTGGACCCCTGAGCAGAAAGAGCAGGCTTTTGGGACAGTCCTGGGATCAAATAGAACTGGGACTAGCAGAGTGTGAGTGGAAATTAGGGTGTGGGTCTTGGCAGAAGGTGGGAAGCAAGGATCCACAGAATAAACCTGTTCAAAAATCGATTGAAACAGGGAGTGAGAACAGAACCAGTATGTGTGTCAGATTTTGAGTGGGTTTTGTGTGCATATAATCAACATGTTCATCTCTCCCTCTGTAACAGGTGAGAGGTTTCTGTTTGAGGGGGGGATAGGTGGCACTTCCTACTTTGTTTTGGTATTCTTGGTGAGTGCCCAGTTCATTGCTCAATGACACTGGAGGAGGCCTGTGTGAGGCAGATGGACTGAATAGCCTGTTTCTGTGCCGTTGCTACAATGTAAGGATGAAACCACCTGTTTCCTATTCCAGCTCACCATTGCAGTCCAGTGAACCCCCTGCTGGAATGTTTAAATGCTGAGGACAGGGCTGGGTGTGGATGTGATGCCTCTTGTGGTTGAGTAGCCATACTCCTACAGCATGGTCCAACTCTTCAATGCCGACCAAGTTTCCCAAAATGACCTAGTCCGTCCTACCTACCTGCCCGCCGTCACAAGCTATACCCAGGGCACTTGTTACAAATGTGCTCCAGGGTAAAGACTTTGAGAAACCTAAAAGCAGAGGGGTCATGATCTTATTGAATGACTGAACAGACTCAAAGGGCTGAATGGCCACCTTCTGTTCCGATGAGACTGGTAGTTGGGTGGCGTCAGGAAGGGTGATGCCAGGGGTGGCTCAGTGGTTAGCACTGCTGCCTCACAGCACCAGGGACCAGGTTCGATTCCAGCCTCAGACGACTGTCTGTGTGGAGTTTGCACTTTCTCCCCGTGTCTGTGTTGGTTTCCTCCGGGTGCTCAGGTTTCCCCCCACAGTCCAAAGATGTGCTGGCCAGGTGGATTGGCCATGCTAAATTGCCCATAGTGTTCAGGGCTGTGTAGATTAGGTGGGTTATAGGGGAATGGGTCTGTGTCGGATGCTCTGAGGGTCGGTGTGGGCTTGTTGGGTCGAAGGGCCTGTTTCCACACTGTAGGGATTCTATGATTCTATGGTCTATGAAAATATATTGCATTTTGCTGAGGTCATACCTGGAACATTGCTTAGTTTCTCTCCTCCCCCGAGTAAGGATAAACTTAACTTGGAGGGTGAGCGGCAAAGATTCACCAGGCTGATTCCTGGGAGAAGGGGATTATCCAATGAAGAGAGAATGAGTGGAATGGGTTCATATTCCCTGGTGTTTAGAAGAATGAGAGGTGATTTCATTGAAAGGGATGAATTCCTTACAGGGTTATCTCTCCTTCACCACCCTGAGATGTAGAAATAGGTGCTGCAGTTAACAGTCGCAGGGTAAGCAGTCAGCTGTTTTGAATCAGAAGAGAAGTTCCATTTATCAAATTCTTGGAATTCTCTTCCCCCAGAGAGCTGAGACTGCTCAGTGTTCAAGTATTTTCAAGACTAAACTAATATCGGGGAAATTTTGTGCATTAAGAGATAAGGTGGGTAGGTGTAAGTGAGGTGGAAGAATGGGGCGGGGGGGGGAAGAAACTGAAAAGTTGTTTGACAATGTTTCTTTCATTTCTTTTCAGTGTCTACTGAAGCACCAGCAAATATAATGATGAACAAATGTGTGACCAAGGATCAGAGGCCTGTCCTTAAACGTGGATTAACTGAGATAATTTGCAACGGCTTAACTTGCACTGGGAATTATAGGGCATATTTTAATCAATCCAGTTGCTACTACGTGTGCATTGTAGACATTCGATATCTGAAAGACTCATCTAAAGGTAATCTTCTTGAATTTGGGAACATGGAGTCCTCGGAAACGTTATTCCTTCGGTTCAGATCAGATCACGGTGAGTTTAACAGAATGAGCGTTTCATTGTCTGTGCATCAAATGCTTTCTCCCCTCAACAAAATTTCACTTTCCTGGCCTGAGAATTCCACCCCGGGTGGGGTGGGAAGAATGTGAAAGCTCCTGGTCTTTATTACTTTTATGTAACAAGGAACTTTAGTATCAAGTGCTAAGAATCCACTTACCAACACAGCTGTCAAATCACTCGGTTCCCCTCTGAGTCTCCAACACACCTTCCCAGCTTGGAGAGGTATTGGCCGTCCCTTCATCGTCTGACTCCAAATCCTGGAACTCCCTCCCTAACAACACCATGGGAGCACCTTCACCAGATCCTACTGGGAGGGTCACATGAATAACTGGGTAAATACCTGGAGCATTTACCTTTAGATCTTCATGTGAATTGTCTCCTTTAAATCACAATGTACAGAAGGAGGCTGTTGGGCGTATAAAATGTGTGCTGCCTCACGGGAAGTACCTTCCAATTACTCCCATCTCCTTGGATATATTTCCAAGTAAGGATTGAGAGATGAACTTGTAGTGGGGGGGTGCTCTTCCCCTGTATCTGCTGCCCTTGTCCTTTTTGATGGAAGTGGTTGTCAGCGTTCCCTCCAATTTTGATTTTTGCCTGCGTGAGCCCCCAAGGCCTGTGTGCAGCCATGAACTTTCTCACCTGGAGGTCCATGCCACCATCCTTGTTCCAACACCAATCAGTGTGCAGAAACCCAGCAAGACTGCAACTTAGAGAGAACGCCGTTGGTCAAGGGTTTGGGAAGTGCTGTCTGAGGAGCCTTGGTTTAATTTCTGCCGTGCACCTTTGTAGATGGTACACACTGCTGCTACTGAGTGTCGGTGGTGGAGGGAGTGGATGTTTGCAAATGTAGTGGCAATCAAGCAGGCCACTTTGTCCTGGATGATGTGAAGCTTCTTGTGTGTGGAGCTGCACCTATCCAGGCAACTGGGGAGTATTCCATCACAGTCCTGACTTGTGCCTCTGTAGATGGTGGACAGACTCTGGCAGGGTCAGGAGATGAGCACCTTGCTGCAGGATTCCCAGCCTCTGAACTGCTCTTGATTATGTGGTGAGGCTGTTCAGTTTCTGGTCAATGGTAACCCCAAGGTTATTGATAGTAGGGGATTCAGTGATGGTAATGTCATTGAGCATCAAGAAGAAGCATTTAGATTATCTCTTATTGGAGGTGGTCATTGCCTGGCATTTGTGTGGCATGACTGTTATTTGTCACTTGTCAGCTCAAGCCTGGATACTGTCCAGGTCTTGTTGCATTTGGAAAGCTGCGAGTGGTGCTGAACATTGTGAAGCCATCAGCGAACACCCCCCACAACGGTCATCATGGAGGGGAGGTCATTTGATGTAGCAGCTGAAGACAAGGTCAGACACCACACGACACCAGGTGGTAGTCCAACAGGTTTATTCGAAAACACAGGGTTTCGGGACATAGCCCCTTTTGTCGGGTGAAGTGAGTTTAAATTTCTGCATTCTGTGTGCGTCTTTCTCTCCCTTCACCTGCCGAAGGGCTATGCTCCAAAAGCTTGTGTCTTCAAATAAGCCTCTTGGACTATAACCTGGTGTTGTATGATTTCTGACCTTGTCCGTGCCAGTCCAACACTGGCACCTCCACATCACACTTGGGGCTAGGGCACTATCCTGAGGACCTTCAGCAGAGATTTCCTGGAGGTGGGATAACTGACCTGCAACACCCATGACCATCTTTCTATATACCAGGTATGACGAACCAATGGAGAGATTCTGCCCTCCTCCCCGAAATTCCCCACTGACTCCAGTTTTCTTTGGATACCTTGATGCCACGCTATGTCAAATGCAGCCTTTATGTCAAGGCCTGTCACTCTCTCCTCACCTGCTGGAATTCAGCTCTTTTGCACATTGGTTGAACCAAGTCTGAAATGAGGTCTGGTGCTGAGTGGTCCTGGTAGAACCAAATCTGGACATCAGTGAGCAGGTTATTGCTGAGTGTGTGCTGTTTGACCTCACTGCTGATGACACCTTCCATCACTTTACTGATGATAGAGAGCAGACCGATGGAGTGGTAATTGGCTGGGTTGGATTTGCTGTGCTTTTTTGTGTACAGGTCAGTACTGGGGGTCATTTTCCAAATTATCAAGCAGATGCCAGTGTTGTACCTGAGTTGGAACACCTTGGCTAAGGGAGCAGCAAGTTCTGGAGCACAAGTCTTCAGTATTATTGCCAGAATGGTGTCAAAGGTAGCTTTGATGCCATGTGAAGTGAATTGAGGTCACTGAAGACTGGCATCGGTGATGGTAGGGACCACTACGGGAGGTGAAGTTGGATCATCCACTCAGTACTTCTGGCTGGAGATTTGTTGCTAATGCTGCAGCCTTGTTTTTGCTCTGATGGGCTCCCCCATCATTGAGGATGGGGATATTGCTGTGGTCAGCTCTTCCTGTGAGTTTTTTAAATGTCTGCCACCATTCACGACTGGATGTGGCAAAGCCTGGAGGAAGTTAGAGATAGTGAGGGGGGTGTAGGCGCTGGATGAGCTTGCAGATATGGGGAGGCGTGTAGGGGCTGACTTTGGATTTCATTTCCATGTGTATTTCGCAGTAAGAATACAAAGAAAAGCTTTCATTTCTTGCTACGAAAGGGCACAATTTTGAATATTTGGAGAATATGGGTGGTGTTTGGGGGTTGGGGGGTGGAAATGGGGGGGTGATGGCAGTGGGGAAAGAAAGATATCGCTGAAGAGAGTCCATCAGTGAACAACACTTGTACCACCATCTACACTGGACCCAAACAACGTCGAGTTGGTGATCCTCAGGCATAATCTTTTGCTGCTGGACCTATTCCTCCGACGTTACCTCTTCCTATGTAGGAGCCACCGATTCCAAGCCCTTCCCTTGCTCAGGAAAAGCTAAGTAGGGCCTCACCCTGCTACAGGCTGGACCCGCTTGAGGTCTGAGCACTAGGCTCTTGCTGTCCAAACTCGCGGTGAGGTTAGTAAATAAAAGTAAAGGAAAAAGTGGTCGGAGCACATGAGCTCTGGCATCTTGAAGGAGGTTGCAGAGACAGGGAGCGGTGTAGGTGCTGGAGGGGTTGTGAGTGATGTGAAAGGGACTCATTGCAGTTGGTTAACATTACCAGGACAACAGAGTTTGGGATGAACTGGAGGTAACGGAGGGTTTGATGTGACACAGTGACCAGGGGAATATTGCAACGGCTGAATCATGAGGACACAGATGAGGGTTTCAGCAGTAGTTCTTCTGAGGGCAGAGAAGGGGAAGCTGAATATTGGCTCTGTTTCTCATTTCACTGTTTTGCTTTCCAGCTTGTCCATCCCAAGGCCCAAGTGCAACTCCTGAAGCAGATCATGGTAAGTGATTCAGTACAACCCAAGGTAATTCGAAGGTGTATTGTGCTGGTGAAGGCACACAGGTGTTTCAGTGGGTTCAGCTGACGTTTAACCTCTGAGGTTGAAGGTCATGGGTTCAAATCTCAGAATAAAACAGGGGCCCACTCTCCCTGCTGCTGAGGGCCTTGATGGAGCACCACCCCATGGGGGAAGGAGCAGTATGGTGTGGGAGGACTGTATTGTAGTAGAGGGTATAGTACATGGGCCTCTGTCAGAGGGTGGTACTGGTGGGGTGCGTCCCTGTCAAGCAGAGGGTTAGAATTGGTCGGGGAGTACACTCAGAGGGTGGTACTGGGGTAATGCCAAACAGACTCTGAGCCAGAGATTGGATCAGGGAAACAGACACACCCAGCCCAGTTGTAGCTCCAGAGCCGCCTCAGTAAAATCTGGAGACTGGTGCCCAAGTTGGGTGATGCCATGACAAGATCATACACTAGTCCAAACCTTTCCTTTCTGCCAGATTGCCCGGTCACTGTCCCTGGGTGTGTCCTGACCCCAAGGGCTGGGGGCCACTCACCAGAAGTTTGGGGCCAGTGGTATCCAGGAGGAGGGAGTGGTCCCAAGATCTCTGCGTTGAAGACGGTGGAGAGGAATACTGACCTGGATATCAATCAGGATTCCATTCAATCCTGTGGCTTTCCCATCCAGGAAATAGTTTCCGATTCTTCATTCAGGTTTAATTGAAGGGAAACTGTTGGTCAGTGTCCAGTTCTCTTCATTGGAAAGCATGTATCAAACCCATTGCGGGGCTGTGTGTGTGTGCAGGGAACTGTGGGATAGTCCTGTGCTCGTGTTTATTGGTATCTCACCCCCACATCTCTCCAGGTCTAGAATTACCCAGGGATCTGTTTGTACTAGGCTGGTTGTGAAACACTAGGTTAGTTTTGATCATGTGTCCCAGTCCATACGTGGCTTCATTCTGTCTCTAGGTCCTGGACTCCCTACAAGAGAAAGAGTTGGATTGGGAATTGGAATTGGTGTTTTTGTTGCCTTTTTGAGACTTAGTTGGTTGCATTTCTGACTCTGCTGTTTCCAGTTCAAAGAACGATGAGAGTCTTTACACTGTAGAGAAACTGTTGTTACAAATAACGCGATCCTGAGCTTAACCTTCCCACAGAAATGGAGGCAGTGAGTTACTGATCAGACCTTCTTGTAAATCCAGCACTGCAGTGTAACCATGTGAGCTTGGGATGTAATGTACCAGCAGGGAGGTTGTATTTGTGGATAATACTTTCAATCTTTTCCAGGTGACTTGCCTGTCCCAATTTCTGGGTACGTTGAGGAGCAGGTGGTGCTGCCCTGTACCTACAAAGGGAATGTCTCGGTCTCTGATTTACAGGTAATCTGGGGGACACCCAAGAGAGAAATTGTACACAAGTTTGTCGATGGGAACGATGATTTGAGAGAACAAGACCCATGGTTCAGAAACAGAACAAACCTGTTCAAAGATCAACTGGAACAAGGCAACTGGTCAGTTCTGATCTCTGACCTCCGGGAGGCAGACCTGGATGAGTATCAGTGTCAAATTTCCAGCAGGATGGGGGATAGATTTCAATTGGAGGAAGTTGTTTCAGTCCGTCTCTCTGTCGCAGGTGAGAGATTTCTGTTCCAAGTAGTCAGCCTGCCATTTCTGATTTGCAACTTGTGTTTAGTGGTCATGTTACTCTGCTTGTATGTGACTCCAGTCCCACATGAACCTGGTTGACATTTTAACTCACTCATTTAAACTCTGGAAGCCCCTTCACTAATGTCTGGGGACTGCTATCCAACCTGGGAGACTGCGGGACATAGTCACGCTGACAGAAATAACACATCCCCCAGACTCCCCTATCACCATTCCTGGGTATGTTCTGTCCCACTGGTAGGACAGGCCCACCACAGGTGGGGGCACAGTGAGATACAGTCTGGAGGGAGTGACCCTGAATTGAAGCCAGTGGGGTATAATGCTGTATAATGTAAAATTGCACTCAAAGGTTTCTCCACAGATAAATAACTGTTAAATTAAAATTATTAACTTTTCAGGAGGTTTTGGGGTTTAATTGAGAAGAAACTGCTGCTGGTCAGTGTTCAGTTCTCTCTCCATTGCAAAGCATGTATCAATCTCATTGTGGGGCAGGGTATGTGTGTGCAAGGAGCTGTTGGGATGGTCTGGTGCATGTTTTGTGATTAATGGCATCTAACCTCCCACACCCCTCCAGGACTAGACTTACCCAGGGATCTGTTTCAACTAGAGCTGGTTCTGAAACACGAGGTGCTGCAGGTCTCTGCAGTTGGTTTTGTTCATGTGTCCCAGTCTGTTCATGGCTTCATTCTGTCTCTAGGTCCTAGACTCCCAGCAAGAGAAAGAGTTGGATTGGGAATCGGGATTGGTGTTTTTGTTGTCTTCGTTGCAATTGGGGTTTACTTTGTCCGAAAACACACAAGACAGTAAGTTCTAGATTATTCTACTAGTCTCATTTTGACCAGATTTTCATTACTAACGTTGTGTGAAATGTTGCTGAGCTCTGTCCCTGTCCATTAGCTGAGCTGTGAGGATGCTTCAATCCAGCCTGTCATTGAGTAGCATCATCCAGTCGCTTCCAACTTGTCATCCTCGTGTTGCTGAACAGTCCCCGTGGATTGGAAAGGAGCAAATTTTCTCCCAAAGGAGAACCAGAGGTTGGGGCATATATTGGGAATTTCAGGAGGTACTTAAGGTGCCACACAATACGTTGTTGTACAAGATGAGGGCTCAGTTGAATGGGAGTCGGGGTGTAATATGGCATGGATTGAGGATTAGTTCATGCTCAGGAGCAGAGCAGGAACAAGTAGGTTGTTTTCAGCTACCAGGATAAACCTGGTCCTGCAAGGATCAGTGCTGGGACCTCAGTGACATTCAATCTTCTTATTAGGGACTGAGATGAGGGGACAGACTGGAAATGTCCCAGTTTGCTGATGATACAAAGCTCAGTGGGAAAGTAAGCTGTGAGGAGGATATGGAGGCTGTAAACAAGTATAAGCTGGATAAATGTGTGGGCAATAATGGTGGTAGGTAGAGACTAAGTTGGGAATGGCTCTTAAGGTATAACTCACTGATGAATTCCTCTGCATCGTTCTATGTCAGAGTGTGTTTGACTTCTGTGTTCCATGTTAAATATGCTCTCTAAATGCCAATTGTTGGTGCTTCCTCTTCTCTTGCACTTTTCGTGTCTTCCTTTTTTTTTATCCTGGGAATTGGAGGGTTCATTGACTGGGAAGCTCATCTCAGATTCCCTTGTTTCACTCTATATCCTCATCTGTGCTTACCACCATCCCCACGTACGCCCCTCACAGTGGGACAAGGAACTATTGCAGTGTTTTCTCTCATCTCCTTCTGGTCAGCGCAGCTCCTGTGGAGTGCCCAGCTCTTGTCCGTTGCCTCCCCTATAAGCCTCCTCTCCTCTACACTCTGTGCTCCATCACCATACAGCTCCTGTCACCCATTTTCCAGCTGCTATTGGTCTCCATGATGTTGAGTGTCATTTAATGGGTCTGTGCTCTTGAACAGCTCCTTTTTACACACGTGCAAAGTGTTGGATTCTTCTAACCTGCACTCTGCTGGTTTCTCTCTCCTAGGGAACAACCCCGACCAACGATGGATCATATTGAAAAATGGAATGGTGACCCTTTGAGTGAGGTGACCTGTTCAAGCGAAGCACAGAGCCTTGTGCCAACAGCACCTGAGCATCAGGATGGAGCGGCTGGAGAACAAAACCTTCTGGGGAACAGGGCTGTCCAGCACTAACTGAGCTTCCACTGCACTGAGCCTGGGACAGGGAGGGTGGGAAATCAGCCTAATCTTGTGATGATCAAGTGATTCCTGATGGAAAGTTTTGAGACGTGGTCAGTAAGGTTATATCACATTGGGTTCCAGGGAGAGAGAGCCTATTGGAGACAAAACTGACTTGATGATGCAAGTCAGAAGCTGGTGGTAGAGGGTTGTTAGGACTGGAGGCCGATGACCAGTGGTGTGCTGTGAGGATGGGTTCTGGGACAACCGTTTGTCACTTGCATCAACAGTTTGGATGAGAACATGGTTAGTAACTTTGCTATTGACAGCAAAATTGGTAGTAGAGGGGGACAGTGAAGTGGGCGAAGAGTACAATGAGACCTTGATCAGATGGGCAGATGGGCCAATGGGCCGAGGAGTGGCAGGTGAAGTTTAATTTAGATAAATGTGAGGTGTTGCATTTTGGTTGGAGAAGCCAGGGCAGGGCTTACACAGTTAATGGGAGAGCCCTGGGAGTGTTGCTGAACAGGGGGATCTAGGGCTTTCAGGTTGATAGTTCTTTGAAAGTGGCATTGCAGATAGACAGTGTGGTGAAGAAGGCATGTGGCACACTTTCCTTCGTTGGTCAGAACATTGAGTATTGGAGTTGGAGGTCATCTTGAAGCTGTACAAGCCACTGGTGAGGCCAATTATACACTATTGTGTACAATTCTGGATGTCTTGCTGTTGCAAGGATGTTGTTAAGTTAGAAAGCGTGCAGAAAAAAAATTACAAGGATGCTGCTGGGACTGGGGGGTTTGCATTGTAGGGAGAGGCTGAATTAACTGGACTTTTTTCCCCTGGATTGCTGGAGGCTGAGGGGTGACTTTGTAGAGGTTTATAAAATCATGAGGCATGGTTAGGTTGAATAGCCAAGGTCTTTTCCCCAGGGTAGGGGAGTTCATAGCAGGCATAGGTTTAAGATGACGGGAAGGATTTAAAAGGGACCTGAGAGGCAACTTTTTCCCACAGAGGGTGGTGTGTGTATGGAATGAGCTGCCAGGGGAAGTGGTAGAGGCGGGTACAACTAGAATATTCCAAAAGACATTTGGACAAGTACATGGCTTAAAAAAGGTTGAGAGGGGTATGGGCCAAACTCAGGCAAATGGGACCGCTTTCAATATAGGATATCTGGACGGCATGGAAGAGTTGGGCTGAAGGTCTGTTGTTTGACTCTATAAACTCAAGCTGTGATTTAAAGAGAAAAGCTGGTACCGTTTTTCATGAGGACAATCATGTTTAATGGCTCTGCTGGTCACTGCATGAACAGAGGAGCCTGCTGTCTACAAGCAGCAAGTCCATGGAGTGAATTGAATTGGCTGAAGACTGGGATCAATGATTGTGGGAATCTCGAGGAGGAGGAACACTTATCCAGTTGATGTTCCTGGCTGTAGGTGGTTGAGAGTGCTTCAGTCTCTTAGGTTATGCTGAAGAAGGTACAATGGGAGCTCTGCCATTCCAGATCCTGGCTGATCATCTACCTCCACCATATTCCTGCCGTCTTCCTATTTGCCTTGATGTGATCAGTAACTAGAAATCAATTAAACTCTGTCTTTCATTTGCCTCTGAATTGTTTCCTGTACCTGTGTGCAAGCTCTGTGTCTTATGAATGAGGATAGCTCGGTCCCTTTGGGCTTTCCGATCTCTTTCATTTTGAGCAATACTGTGCCCCTCTGTTCCTCCTCCCAAAGCGAATAACCTTGCAGTTCTCCCCATGTATTCCGTGTGCTGTGCTCTTCACCACTCACTTGGTCTGTCTCAATCGACTCTCGACAACCAGTGTTTCCTAAGGATCCAGTCATCACATCATTTATAATAGATGCTAGTATTTGTCTTGGTACTGCTGTCAGGTTAACAAGTCTGTGTGCCTTTGTAACACCACTCTTTGAAAACAAGGGGGAACATTTTCAAGCTTCCACTCTGCAGGCCCCATTGGAGGATGAATAGAAATGTGGAAAGATGGTCACCAATAGAAGCACGCTCTCTTGCAATCTCTTTTGAACAGATGTCAGTTTTCCCCATCACTGAGGACAGTGATGTTCATGGAGTCACCTCCCACCCGATGTTGAATGGTTGCCCACCATGAAAGGCTGAATGCAGCTGCATTGCAGAGCTTTGATTGTGCAAGCACCATCTTTTATATCGACTCTGTTTCAGGAAGTGTTTACATTTATACGACACATTTCACCATGTTTCATTGGGAGGCCATGACCTATTGGTATTCTCGCTGTGCTGTTTATCCAGAGACTCGGGTAGTATCCTGGGGACCTGGGTTTGAATCCTGCCACAGCAGCTGGTTGTTACAAAAACCCAGTGGTTCGCTAGCTTCCTTTAGAGAAGGAACTGAAAATAGGGAATCTGATCATTACGACAGCGCTATGTATGGGAGCTTAATGTGCACAAACTAACTGCCATTATACCGATATCATAACAGAGGTTTTTGTTTTTCTTTCTTTTGCTCTTAGGATGAGGGTGTCACTGGCTAGGAGATCACTTATTGCTTATTCCCTGAAGGCAGTTGTATGGAATGAGCTGCCAGGGGAAGTGGTAGAGGTGGGTGCAATTAGAACATTCCAAAAGACATTTGGACAGGTACACGGCTAAGAAAGGTTTACAGGGGTATGGGCCAAACTCAGGCAAATGGGACCACTTTCGGTACAGCATATCTGGATGGCGTGCAAGAGTTGGGCTGAAGGGTCTGCTTCACTGTTGTTTGTTTTTCGTCAGAGTCGATATAAAAGAAAGTGTTCACGCCATCAAAGCTCTGCGATACAGCTGCAGTCAGCCTTTCATGGTGGGCAGCCATTCAACATCGGGTGGGAGGTGACTCCATGAACATCCCTGCGCTCACTGAGGGGGAGTCGGACACGTTGCTGTGGGCTTGGGGAAACTGCCATCCTTATCTGTTCTGGCCTACACGTGACTCCAGACCCATAGCAATGTGGTTGATTCATAATTGCCTTCTGGGAATGGCCAATAAATGCTGGCCTAGCCCATGACAGTTTCCTCCCATGAATGAGTTTTAAAATAAAATCCTGAGTATGACATCCCAAAATGCTTCCCAGTCAGTGAAGGGTCTATTATAATATCGGAATGATGGCGGTTAATTTGTGCACGGTAAGCTCTCACATGTACTGCTGCCGTAATGACCAGATTCCCTGTTTTATTTTAAATGCTGTTGGTTGAGGGGATATTGACCCAAAAATAAGGGTGCAGGAGCAAATAAGCTCTTTGTCGATTGTGGGATATGACACTACAGAAGGAGGCTGTATGGCCCACCTTCACACCTCAATCAGATCAATGCCTTTCCTTGTCTTCTTCCTGGAAAATGAATTTCCCTCTCGAATGGAACAAACTTTCACAGACATGGGAACATAAACTAGGAAAGGAAAGCAGACTGATAAGCTCAGAGTCTCATTCCAGTATTTTTTACATTCATTTGTGGGACAAGGGGGTCGCTGGCTAGGCCATTGCTCAGAGGACAGTTAAGAGTCAATCACATTGCTGTGGGTCTCAAGTCATATGTAGACCAGACGAGGTGAGGATGGCAATTTCCTTCCCCAAAGGGCGACCATTGTTGACTATCGACAATGAATTCACGGTAATCATTAGATTCTTAATTTGATTTTTTTAAAAATTGAATTCAGATTCCACCACTTGCCACAGCAGGATTTAAACCCAGGTCCCCAGAACATTACCTGGGTCTCTGGATTAACAATCCAGTGATAATACCACTGGGCCTTTGCCTCCCTGTTATTAAAGGGAGCTCAGACAGATAAACCCAGAGCCTGGTTCCTGTATTAAAGAGGGAAGCCAGCAGATGTCAGTCCTGTCCACTGTCAAATGACCAACTCATCCGCTCTAACCAAACATTCCAATCTGACCTAGTCCCATCTGCCAGCATTTGGCCCAAGTCCCTCTAAACTCATCCTATTCATTTACCCCTTCAGATGCCATTTAAATGTTGTAATTGTACCAGCCTCCACCACCATCTTTGGCAGTTTGTTCCATATGTACACACCAACCTCTGAATGGAAAAGTTACCCCTCAGGTCCCTTTTGGACTCCCCACCTGAGCTAAAGACTTTAGCTGTTCACCTTATCCATGCACCTCAGGATTTTATATACCTCAAGAAGTCACCCCTCAGCCTCCGATGCTCCACGGAAACCAGTCCCAGCCCATCTTCTCCCTTTAATTAAACCCTCCAGTCCCAGCAATGGGATTCAGAAGTGTGAGTGCTACCCAATGAGACAATGTGGGACCTCAATATAGTCACTGAGCACTGAATTAATGCTGTTCTGAACCAGATCATAGGAGACATTAACATCTTTTGGTACAACCAAGTTGAGGATTCTTTGACTCATTGGGAATTACAGGCCCAATCCATGTCAGTAAATTACCCTCAATCACATGGGATCTCACATTGTTTACTGACCCGAAGGACTGAACAGAGACTGTGAAGGTGAGAGAAGGGAGGATATTGAAAGCAGAGTTGATGAAATTGTCCCGTTCAGGGTGAAATCAGAATATGAGACCAATTCTGATATAAAAGGGAGCAGAAGAAGGGGTGAGGGGGAAACCAAAGCAGAACTAAGCCAACAGAAATTCCACATCTCCTACAAAAAGACAGCGGAAGCCAGTTCCCATGTGATCGCTCATAGCAAGTGAGTGAGTTATAGGAGATGAAAACAACAAATGCTGGAGATCACAGCGGGTGAGGCAGCATCGATGGAGAGACAACAAGCTAACATTTTGAGTCTAGATGACTCCATCAGATCTGACATGAAGTGTGGAGGGGGACAGCATTTATGCTATAGTTTATGGGGGGAGGTGGTGGATTGTACAGTGCTGTGGAGAAAGGATGCTGATAGTTCAGATTAAGTTATTGAAATGTGAGAATGGCAGAACAATGGTGTGTCTAACTGCCAGATTGAAAAGAACAGACAGTCCCACTGGGGTGGGGGAATGGGTGAGAGGACACTGTGACAGAGAATGTAACAAGCAAAGCTAAAAGAAAGTGAAGGGATGGGAGTTGGTTCATAATTTGAAGGTGTCAAACGCAATATTAAGTCCAGTAGACTGTAAAGTGCCTACTCTGAAGATATATTGTTCCTCCAGTTTGAGCTGTGATTCACTGGAGCACTGCAGCATGCCGAGGACAGAGATGTGGGCATGCGTGCAGGACGCTGTGTGAAAATGACCCACTACAGGAAGGTCAGAGTCATACTTGTGCACAAAACAGAGGTGTTCTGCAAAGTGGTCACCCAGTCTGCGTTTGGTTTCTCCAACGTAGAGTAGACCACATTGGGTACAGCAAATACAATACACAAGACTGGAGGATTTACAGGTGAAATGCTGTTTCACCTGGAAAGACAGTTTAGGCCCTTGGACGGTGGGCAGGGAGGAGGTGAAGGGGCAGGTGTTGCACCTTTTGTGGTTACATTGAAGGTGTCCTGGGAAGAGGGGGAATGGTGTTCAGTGGCCGATGGATGGACTAGCGTGTGCAACGATCCCTGCGAAATGCAGATTGGGGAAATCAGGGGAAGATGTGAAGGGCGGTGGTGTTCTACTGGAGTTTCTGAAATGGCAGAGAATGAACCTTTGAATGTAGAGGTAAGTGCGGACAACGGAGACCCGATCACTCTTGTGAGTGATGGGAAGGGGCAAGCGCAGAAGCACGGTTACAACAGTCTTTGGCAGGAACTGGAAAAACTTGGATTTGGGCAGCTGTTTGAAGGTAAATCCATATCTGACTTTTGGGAGATGTTGACCAGAGTTCAGGACTAGCATGTTCCTGAGGGGATCAAATATAAACA